ATATTCCATGATATTTGTTGATAATTTCTCTCGTATAATTTGATTATTTCTTATGAAAGACCGATCTGAATTACCCAATGTCTGTACCACCTTTTATAATGAAATTCTAGTTCAATTTTGGTGTTCGTATTAAAGTTCTTCAGTCTGACAATGCCCTTGGTTATACCCAATTATTTATGAAATTTCTTTGTGTTGACCATGACATTATCCATCAAAGTACCTATCTTCACATCTCCCAACAAAATGGTGTTGCGAAACGTAAGCATCACCATTTGTTTGATATTTTTCGCACTTTGATGTTTAACATGCATGTACTAAAATCATATTGGGTAGATGCTGTTCTTACTGCAGTTTATCTTATTAATTGCATGTCTGCCCCCATTTTGGACAAAATAGTCTATTTTCTCATTGCTCTATTATGATCAACCATCATTCGATCTCCCTCCTCTTGTCTTTGGTTGTATTGCATTTATTCACCTTTTTGGTTTGTGTCGGAATAAACTTTCTCATCGCTCAGTCACGTGTGTATTTTTGAGATATTCTCGTACTGAAAAAGGTTATCACTGCTATGACCCTGTTTATTGTCGATACTCTGTTAGTGCTGATGTTACTTTTTTTGAGTCATCTTCTTTTTTTTTCATGTCAGGTGATGTATTTTCTCCAAATTTATTTTTTCCCAGTCAAGAGGAGCTCTTGTTACCTATTGTACCAAATTTTGTCTCTTCTTCATCCTTAAGTCCTACTCCTCTCTTGCAGGTTTATCATCGTTCCAAGGATAGATAGGTTGTTCCGTTCTAGTTTCATAACTGTCACCTAATTCTCCTAAGGTACTAACCCCTGATTCCTCAAGTAGTTCATCATCTTCTGATTTGTCCATTGCATTGAGGAAAGATACTTGTAACTGTACAAAATATCCTATTTTTAATTTTGTTTATTTGCATTGGCTTTCACTATATTTTCGTTGTTTTGCAATGACTTTGTCTTCGGTATTTGTTCCTAGTTCTTTGACCCAGACATTGACATCTCCTGGTTGAATCACATATGGGATCTTATTACTTTCTTTCTAGTAAACAATCGTTGGGTCTACATGGTAAATTATCATCCCGATAGTCTAGTTGAGCATTTAAAGGCTCGTCTAGTTGCCAGAGGTTACATTCAGATATATAGTGTAGATTATTCTGACACTTTTTCTCATGTTTCGTCTTAACTTTGTTAGAGTTCTTTTTTTCTGTTGCAGTGAGTTGTAATTGGGCTTTGAATCAACTAGACATCAAAAATGTTTTTTTATATGGAGACTTGCGGGAGGAGGTATTTATGGTACAACCTCCATTTTATGTGTATCTGGTTAGGAACAGTTAGTGTGTCAATTGAAGAAAGCACTACTTGGGCTTGAAACAATCACCCACATGCTTGGTTTGATATTCAGTATTTTTGTACTTCAGTATGGTTTTCATTGTTCTACTTCAGACCATTCAATTTTTATTCGTCATTCTTCCACACAGGTGTTATTATTCTTATTGTTTATATTGATAACATTATCATTAGAGGTGATGACTTTGATGGTATTGTCCACTTCAAGGTCCGTTTAGGAAAGCAGTTTCATACCACAGATTCAGGTATTTTTTGATATTTTCTTGGTATCAAGGTTTGCTTGGTCAAAAGGTGTATCAGTTTGTGTCAGCGAAAATATGTATTGAATTTATTATCTGAGATTGAGACTCTTGGTACACGTCCTGATACTTTTATGAACTTTACAATGAAGTTAGATGCTGAAAGTGGTAAACTCTTTGATAATATAGGACGCTATCGGAGATTGGTTGATAAGTTAATTTATTTGACACTTACGTAGCCTGATATTACCTATGTTATTAGTGTGGTTAGTCAGTTCACGCACGCTATTTGTAAGCCTTATTGGGAAGCTGTATGTCGCATTCTTCGATATTTGAAAGGAGCACTAGGAAAAGGATAATTATATCGTCTTTCATCATCCATGATTGTTATTGGCTTCTCTGATGCTGACTAGGCAAGTAGTTGTGTTGATAAACAATCTACCTCATGTTACTATATTTTATTTATGACCATCTTGTTACTTGGCATAGCAAGAAACATAGTGTGGTTGCCCATTCGAGTGTAAAGGCCGAATATCGGGCTATAGCATATACTGCGTGTGAGATGATGTGAGTTTGTTCTCTTCTTCATGATATGAGTATCGATGTGTCTTGTCCTGTAGAGATGCATCGGGGCAACCAGACAACTATTTTCACTGCTAGTAATCCAGTATTTCGTTAGAGGACAAAACACATCAAAGTGGACTATCATTTTATTCGAAATCTCTTGATGCACAAGGAGATTATCACACTATATATCAAGTCTAGTGCTCGACTGGGTGACATCCTTACCAAACCATTGGTTCAATTTGTCTTCAATAATCTTTGTTCCAAGTTGGGACATCTTTAATCTTTATACTCCAACTTGAGGCGAATTGTAAGAGTTCTTATTTATTGTTAGTTGGGTTGAGTCATATTATAATTTACTCATATGTTATAAATAATAAGGTGTAGAGCAATATGAAATGGAGCAGGTTCCGTGGACGATACCTGTCTGCCTAGGAAGCATAGATACGAATACGTGACATAGGTACAATACGATATGGATACGAATGATATGACAAAACTTTAAAAAAAGGATACAGGTGCGGCTAGGATACGCCTATAATAAAATATATTTTTTATTTTACTATTATTTAATGACTTAGAAATTGCAATTTTTCAATAATTCTTTAACATTAGTAAGAATTTTTACCATAAAAATGATGGTTTCATTATGATATGTTCATAAAATGAGCATGACTAATTGAATGAATTATAACCACATTTAACTATGGTTTGTTTGCAAGTATTTATTTTTAAAATTATAGTGTAAGTGACTCATTTTTTTTTATACATTTTTAACATGTAATAATGGATAGTACTTAAAAAAACACTCATGTCTTCAAAATCAGTTGAAATTTTGTTGATATTTTATATTGTATGTGAACTCCAAAGAAGGGGGTATAGTTTAAAATTGATAATTGTACATCTTGCTTCTTGTTTATAAATATCCGCGAAGTATCTGCATATTTTATTAATTATCGGATACAGATGATGCGTATCTGATACGTATCATCGAGTATCTGATGAACGTCGAAGTTGACAAAGTATCCGTGTTTCATATCTGTCTGCCTATAAGCGGTTGGAGAAGGAGAAACAGTAGTCGGTGAGTTGGCTTAGAAAGAAGTACTAAAGAACATTAGTCCTCAAGCGAGCGAAGGTGACTTTGACACTTTGAAGACTAGTAGAACTAATGCGAGTAGAGGTTTGGGATATAAAAATGCTTTCTTTTAAGCCTACGGGTGGAATGACTTTAATAGATGCAATTAGTAAAGCAAGAAATTCGGTGGAGTTATTTCCACTTCCTTTCTCGCCTTTGAGCTCAATCAATCAGTACACAAACGAATACCAATTCCCTTAATTCCAATATATGAATTTTAACTTTTCTCATTGGTGATCTCTCTCCTTTCATTCTTTTATCTAAAGAATGGTAGTCCTTGCTACAAAAAGTTTGTCATTCCCCTTTGTGTAATTGTGTATTTACCTTTACACCATGTTTTGGTCTATTGTACCTCAGACGCAGTCTCGCATGATCATTTGTAAGAAACAAAAGTCAGGGATGTTCCAATTCCTTGAATAGCAATTGTGGCACTTACCTGTAGCCCCTTTTTCTTCTTTGCATAAACTTTAAATGGAGAGTCAACGCACCATTTAAAGGAACGTTGTCCATAGGAAAGCCAGTGTTATGGTTCCTCGGGGAGTTGTTGAAGTAGGTAGTTGCTGGAGAGAGGGGGAAGGAGAAACCTAGAGATCGAGGTGGGGGTTAGTTGCGTTCGATGGGGATGGTGGTGGAGTCAGCTCAAAGAGAGAGAGAGAGAGAGAGAGAGAGAGAGAGAGAATATGAGTGATTGGGCATTGTCTGGCAAATGGTTTAGGTATGTCTGGTAACTTTTTTTTTTTTGTCATGCAATAGGTTTAAGCATATTTCGCAATTGGGGCAGGGGAATAATATCAACAGATAAGATAATTGAAATAATGTTGATCTTGGAGGATTTGATTAGTGCAATTGGAACATCGGGGACCAAATAAACCAGGGGCATACTTAAGGATGCAAAATGTATTTTGTCCTAGGCCAATTGTTACCTTTAACTATTTTCCAGTACACTCCATAATTCCTATCTCCTGAAAGGGCAGGCTTATTGAAAGCCTTGTCTTAGCTTGAGCATGATGGCATGGACCAAACTTTCATTTTGAAACCGCCGGAACGTTCCGTTTCCATGGGAACCAAAAATGAACCAGTGATCCAATATTGTAATTCCTAAGTTTTGAGGTGTTTTGGAATGTTTCAATGTGTTTTGACATGTTTTAACAAATGTTTCAGCGGTTCAAAAAAAAAAAAAACAAATGTTTCATAATGTTGCAGTAACAGATTTTTAATTTTTTTCCGATTTATTCGGTTTCTTAAATATTTGTTAAACGTTTCGTTTCCAAGGTGACCAAAATAATGCGCCGAAATAAAATTTTGATTCTTCAATGTTGGCACCTTTTAAAATCCGAAGTTGATTGTACTTGTATCATGTTTCATTTGGCTATTTAGGATGAATTTCTCTAACTGGTTTTATTCGAAACTCTAGTATGAATCTCAAGGTTGGTGGACTCTTTCCTTGGTTTTTTCATTTCATAGGAGCATGTATTTATTTTTATTTCTAATTCTGACAAATGGCTTTTCAAAATAACAAGGTCCTCCGCTGGGGAAGGCCAGAGGATCTTTTCCTTCCCTGATATTTGTCTTTGGTTCTGCCTGCAAATTTTGTACCAAGTTTATTTGAAAGATTATATTATTATTTTTCCTTGATTTCATCATCGTCAGCTGAAGGGATATGCCAGTGGATATAAATGACTATAGTGAAAATGTCGTATGGGGATGATAGACCTTCCTTGTCAGCTATATTTTTACATCAATTGTGGATGCCTGCCATTCTCTTTGCCAGGCTTATGGTTGAACTGAAAAGCCTTAACTGCTCTTACAGCTTCTGGATTGCGGTTACTTGGATTGCTTTCTCATACTTGAAAATGACACAGCTTTTCTGCTCCGAAGAGCACTTAGGTCAGAAACTGTGATATATTCATCCATTTTCCTTAATATAAGGAGATGTGGAATAAAATCCTATAATTCTATCCACTTTGAGCTACAAATATATCCATTATCATTTATAAATCTTCCTAGTTTTCCTTTTAGCTCCTTGCTGAATTAGTATACTTTAGACTCCATGAGTATTCTACATTAAAACACCATTGCATAATGACAATTAAAAGATGATTTCTCAATATCCGTAGAACTTTGGTGGTAAGGGCATTCCTCCTTTTCTTTTCTTGTAAAGTTAGATTTCTAGACCTGCCGCTGTGTCTGTCATTGTTATGTTACCAATAAGGTACTTTCTGATCAAATGACTGAATTTCCTGCAATGACAAGTTTAATTTAACTCCTGTTAAGTGGACTTGAGTCTGTATACTTGGCATAGATGTTTGCATAAGTTTTGCGTCTAATCTCCAAATTCTAGAGCTGGATCATTGATAAATTTTGGATTGTCAAATTATCCTTTATGAAGATATGTCTTATCCTGTATGACACTACAATTTTGTCATACATATTCACATTCCATCTTGAGAATCTTTGCTATGCCTAGTTTGCATCTTCAAATAATAGATAGATAGATTCCCATCGGCATGTGATTCGAAGTGTTTCCTATGTGGGAAAGCTATATGCTTTTTACCCAAATCTATATGTTTTGATTTCTTGTAAAATCATCCAACTATCGCATAGAAGTTTAGCCCAAGAAAAGAATGATGATAGTGATAGTATACAGTATAAACAGAGTACATAACATGTCGATGACATAAAAATGCATAAGTTGTCTATTAACTTATGGAACTACGGTTGGTTGAACATAGTATGTCAAAAATCCATGTCATGATTTCTACAGTTGACATGAACTTTTTCCTGATCTAACAATTGTTGAAAATATGTGGAGAATACAGTTGGCATGATTTTTTTTACTATTTCAGGTGGTCGTAAATTACAAAGACTTGGCACTTACAGAATATGCTAGAGTGGGAAGAGCAATAGCCTTGTATGAGGTTGGTGACAGGGGCCAGGCAATAGCGGAGATGGAGGATGTTTCAATATCTTTAAAAGGATATCCAGGTATTTTCATTATTTTACATTCCCCGATTATGCAACGATGTACACCAATTGGAAATCACTCCGTGGTCAAAGCGAATGATCATCAGATCTCATTTTATTTTTCTCTAATTGCTTTTTTTTTTTTGGGGGGGAGGGGGGGGTTCAGAAGTGCATGCAGCTCTAGCGGCAGCTCTATATGTGGATAAGCATGCTCTACTGCTGGCAGAAAACCAATTTACAATCGCAACTCTTCTTGATCCTCACTATACAGACCTCTCGTACGTAAGAGAAACAAAGCATTGGCCTCCGAGTTTGGTTAGTTCTTTGGAACATTTTATCACACTTTCATAGGCTCCGTAAGTTATATGCAACTTGTCAATCAACACTCATGTATTGTAGCCTTGTATGTCTCTTTGGTTACTATTTCTCTTATATGAAAGAAGTTTGTTGCTACTACAATTCTTTATGTACCAATGCAATACCTTCTACATCAAACTGATATGTAGAAGTAGAAATATATGAATTTTTTTTTTTTATGTTTCGACCCTTTTAAATCAAAAGGTTAGGCACCTATCGGGGGAGATGAAGTTTCATTCAATCCTTGATCTAGACGACAGGTATCTTGCAACGCTTTTATTAGCAGTTAAGTTTTTCTAAATAATCCTTATTATAGCTAATAAATCTATATGCTTTATCTGGTCTTTTTTTTTTTTTTAATTACGTTAAATCCTTTACTGCATTACTGCTTTTAGGTCCTCTTTGATACTTTTTTCCTCTTGTTTTTTTATTGATAAAATCATTTATCATTAACGAGTGAGAGAGAGACTCACTTATGTATGATTGATCTCACTTGAATTCAAGGTATGTGATTTACAAAGAAGGAAAATAGAGAAAAAAAATATTGGATTATTACAGTTAGAATGCAATCTTGAATTATTACAGCTTCATCTTATGTGTGTTTATATGTACATGCCTTTGATAAAAAAAAAATAATAATATTACAGCTTCTATTATTCAAAATTGTTACTTTAATGTTGTTATACTTGCTCCATTAATTCCTTTTTTTTTTTAACTGAACTCACATCATTATTTTAAACTGCCAATCTTTGTCCTGAATCTGTGTACATGCAAATTTATGTGTATATGTGAACGAATCGCATTATGCAAAAAAAAAGGGCTTGAGAAATCTTACCTCCTTATTTATCTATATATACTAGTAAGTGTAGACGTGTATTGCACGTAAATCCTATAGTTTGTAAAAATCATTTACCTCGACGTTTATATATATATGAGCACCAAGTATAGAATCAAAGGAATCTCAGGGGAATGTAATCATTTGAAGACATCGAGGGCCAAGTACGAAGTAGGGTGGATTAATGCAATCAGTATCATGTGTTGTCATGTCTTAACAGAGTAGATCCTCAACACTTGAGTTGGTGAGGATATTAGCTCATTACCCTGCTGGATAGGGCTGTTTAGTTGAGTTGACAGGAAGGAGTTTTTGGATTTCATGTTCCGAGCCAATGAGTTGTTGCAGACTATTTCTTTGGTTGACTTTATCCGATTGAGGGTAATGTTCCAAGGTGAATTGCGTCCAAAAAAACAGCTTGGAAGGAAGGTCAGCTAGGAATGCAGAATGTCTTACAAATTTTCAAACTTTAAGTAATTAATTTTTGGGTTATTTTAACAATTTAATTTGCAAATTTTTTGGTATTTTTATAACTAGACTGTTAAAATATACTATAAAAATATGTACACAAATACAATAAACTAATAAAATTAAAAAAAACACGATAAGTCTAATTAATATGTTTTCTAGTCTAAAATATCATAAATAATCACAAGTCATATGCTTCTTAAACGATGTCGTTGACGTTATTTTATATCACATTATTTTAAAAAAAAATTTAAATATAAATGCAGATTGAGTAGGAATACAAATATTTTATGGGTAATATTTACAGAATACTAAAAAAACCTTCCATTAGTTGGTAAAAAATGCAAAAGTCGAGTTATCAGGTAGGATAGAATAAGATAGGATCGAAATATTGTGGAAGAGGTGAGGTGGGCAGAATTTTGAACACCCTTACCTGCTTATAATTCAACATCCATGTGTCTTCCAGTAGTCCTAAAACAAAGCAAAAGCAAAATCAAAGTTTAGAAGGGTATATTGGTAAGAAATATGTTGTCACGGCTCATTATATAATGAATGCTTTATATAATTGAGAGCTCCAATGAAAGCCTCCTATGCTTCCATAAAGAGCAATGCATGATGGAAAATATGATTTCTGAAAAGAGAACAAGCATCTCTAGGCTTGGTAAGTTGAAGCTAATAGACTAATGAATAATATGTCCTTTAGTACGTGCCATTTAGGTGTATTTTAATGTAAATATACCCTTGGAAATTCAAAGAAATATTATATATATTATTTCGTCCAACTGCAAAAAGGATATTAGAATTTTAATTATTCCCATTTATGATTAATATAATCATCTTTGCCTTGAAAGAATTTGAACAACAAAGTTTCTTATCACCATTTCTTGCCACTGAAATGTTGTAGATTGGAGCTCGGCATTTTGAAAATCAAACTATATCTTAGAATAAGACATTATGCTTTTATGAAATATGTCAATAAGCAATAATAAAGTGGGAAAACAAACAAAAAGAAAGAGGAGGAAAAAAAAAAAAAGCTCAGGCAGAAACTGGAGGGTATTCCCATCAGCTTATATGCAGCTGTCGCACTAAGAGTGGAGTCCTTTGCCTATTTCTGATTGTCCACCAGGTACAAGGAAAAAAAATATATTAGTCGGAATTAGAGTTTTTTCGGAAAGGATTTCAAATTTCAACTCCAACTCTTTGATCGGAGTCGGAGTCTGAGTTTTTTCCCCTAACTCCGATTCCAACGAAAGTAGAAGTCAACCGAAGTCTGATTTTCGGATAGTAGAACACCCGTAGAAGTGACCTGGGTGGGTGGGGTGAGAACATTAGGGTGTACATCTGGTGACCCCACTGGAGTTTTCCTAAGCCCACACATCAATAAAAGGGCAGTTTAAATTGCCTGAAAATGGGGAAATTGGGGTCCCCAATTTTGACTATATTGTCCAAAATTATGGCTACTTTTCCCCAATATTTAATTACTTCTTCCTCACACTTTGCGTGGAGGCCAAAAGTTGGCCTCAAAACTAGGCCGAAAATATGGACCAGTGTTTTCCTTGGGCATGTTCTCTTCACCTTTATTGTTAAAGCCAAACACTACAACTAGTTTCTTGACTCTTTTAGTGGTTTTGTAATGGTTCCCTTTTACATAGATAAAGTTGTGCTCTTCTCTATTTTTTTTTTTTTTTTTGTGCTAGAAATGTTTGTATGAACATGAAACAATGTGCTGCAAGTAGGCCGGTGCTATTTGTTAGGCTAAAAGTTCGATTCTCTCTTCACGTGACAATCAATCTTGTATTGGTAAAGGATTCAATTGAATATAATGGATTTCACAGGTCATAGTTGATGATCTAACATGAAAGAAATCTAGTATCGGAATGGATCTCAATTGATGATGACATAAATGAGAACTGCTCTCTCTCTCTCAAATTGAACTTAATCAAAATTCAGAAGATTTAATGAATCAAAATAGGTTCAATCCAAGAGACAAAATCAATAAGAAATGTTATTTACTTCGTAAAATTATAATGAATTTTTATGAAACAAAAGAGTTTTACGGGAACTTTCTTCATTGAAAAACGAAATAGGAAGAAGCGTAGAGGATCTTGATCCTCCATGGGTGGTAAAAGTCTAATGAAAACTCAAATCTGCCTGGGTTGGGCTGGTCAACATAAGATAGTGAAAGTTGAAACACACCCAATTCCCACTAATTCATGCCTCTGAAATGTCGTGCAGATCAATCAGCTTCAAAAATATTGGTGCTTTGATTCAACCTATTTTGGTCAGTAACTAGGACTGGGAACCAACCATTGCAATGTGATTATTCCATAATTAGTCATTCAGGCCCTTTGAAGTTACAAACTTGCCCCTCAAATGAACATAATTTGACAAAATTGAGCCCAGCAGCACACTTGATACCAAAGACATGAAATCACCTCTTTATGTTAAGGTCTTGTAGTAATCATCATCTGCAATCATGAATCAAAAAAAAGCAAACTTCCTTTTTTGGCTTTATTTAATAATTAAATATTTTAATTTTTTCATGATAATGATGATTAAAAAAACTCATGATTTCATGAATTTGATATGTCAACTACTCTTGAAATTAATATGTATTACTAACTCGACATATACAAATTAATATGATTCTGTTTAATGTAATTATTGTTCTTACAACATCTCAAATAATTCAAAAATAAATTCGTGAAATTTCTTGTTCATGTTCATTGAGCTTATTTTTAATCCCACCTTATCATCGAAGAAAGGGGAATTAAAAAATACTATCAATTTTTATTTTATTTTTTTCGGATAGCGATCTTGTTTTAATATCTTGATGACTTGCCCTACAATTTTATTTGTTTTTATTTTTTTTAAAAAAAAAGAATTGGACTTCCAATAAAGAGTCCCTACCCATAAGACACCACCTGCCCTACATAATTTATTTGTCACTACATGTTTGTCATTAGATGTAATATTCTATTAACGTAACTCTTTGTCCTTAATTAATTATATTTGGTCAACAAAATAACAGCTTTTTTTTTTATGGGTCGACAATATACTAGTCAAGCAAGATGCACATTTTCAGCTAAATAAATAGAAAAGAAAACTTGTGTCATCCAATCAAACTTTCAAACTTATCTGCCACCCAAATTTGATCCTCTTTAATATTTTTTCACACAATTTTACTCGATGGTAGATCACCTATTGTGTATTGGTGGGGGGTTCACATATAAATAATGGGATCCACGTGAATACATTGTAGGTGATCTACCATTGAGTGAAATTGTGTGAAAGAATAATAGAGAGATTCTCAATCCAAATTTGGCAACTCTCCTTCACCTTTTAAACTCGTGTCTAATTGAATTTAATTAATGACAAGAGAGATTAACGTGAGGTGAATGCTCTTGCATAGCACATCCATGTATTTTGCTCTTATTACTTGTACTCTAAACAAAAGAACAATCAAGTGTACGAGACTTTTATTACTATGATATCTGAGGAGAGTTAGATTTGAGATCGAGAGAGATTGCACAATGACGAGAATCCTTCCCCTGCATCTGCCATTCGGATTCAAGCCTCCCTCCGTTAGTACGTTCCCCTCCTCCTTTGATTTAATGGTTCTAGGGGGAAAAGGAGCTTTAGGATTTCTAATGAGTCAATTCAGAATAGCATCTAAAGATTGAGGGTGGGTTTCACAGTAAAATTGCTCCATTATGAATTGAGTTTGAAACATTCGAGTCAACGAAATAATCTCTTCACATGCGAGGATAAAATTTGCATACATGTAACCTTTCCCATACCCTATAATGACGATGCCTGGCTTGGCTATAAATTCTTTTAACCAAAGATTGACAGAAATCATAAACAAGTTTATATTGATCTATACAGAATTATAGAGCAAGTCCATACACAAAGACAAAGAATGCCCAGATAGACATCAGCATAATTATATTTGTAGTCTACAAGGTATTTTTTGGGTCATCAGCCCACATAGATCTCAGCAACTTGAGCAACATTCTTGCCTTTGTCTTGGTCCTCCCACTGCACTGGCTCTGAAGCAACAGTAACAACTGAGTCAAAACACCAGCACAAATTGCCTTTTCCGTTGCCTGTAATGAATCAAAACATATGATCATCAGTGAATTGACAGCACTCTCACTCCCTTCATGATCTGAGACTCTGAAAACCATCTTGACAAGGACATTGACACCATTTGGTTGATTAATCAAAGCCTCTTTTCCACTTTCTAATCCTAAAAGCAGTTCAACTGTTGCCATTGCCATTGGTGCCAAGCTTCTCTCACATCTTTCTGCATTCGAAATATAAGTTATGAGTCCGCGAACAGCACCTTCTCTTACCATGTTAACTCTATTTGATTCCAATGAACACAATGCTGATATGGCTTTGATTGCAGCTTCAGAAGCCTCAGAATTTTCATGGAGAAGATGAATCATTCCTCGTGATAGAGCTCGGGTTTTTCCAAGCATTGCACATAGGTCTTTTGTCTCCATAGATGATGAAGTTGACCCAACCAGATGACACAAACTCTTCTGGATAATGCTTGTGCCTTGCTCAAATAGAACTAGAAAGTATGCCAATTTAGCCCCTTCTTTGAGCAAGTTTAGAGACCCCAAATCACTAAATGGCAACAACTTCAATGCACAAATCAGTGCTTGTTCTACAAACTTCAAGTGGTCTTGAAAATTTGTGCCTTCAACTGATCTTAATGCTAGTTCTAACAGTAATGGGAAGAAGCCCAATTCGATCAAAACGGTATTTTTCATGGGCAGTTCTGCAGATAAAACTTGGATCTTTTCAAGTGTTTGAAGCTTTGTTTCAAAGGTGGATTCATGGGACTCAAGGTTGTGCTTGAGTGCAACTAAGGAATGATCAGGATCAATCATTTTGAAGCAATCAGGATCAACGTTGTTGTCGAATTGAAGCCACTGATTGATCAAATGGCGAAGAGTGTGATTGGGAACCATGGATGGGTCCGGGAGCTTCTGCATTGTGACAGGACATGTGAGATTACCAGCAGAAAGCCATTTTTCTATGCTGGAACGATCATAGGTTTGGCCTGTGCACAGAGTGACTGGATCTGTGAACAAATCTAGACTAATTGGACACCTAAACAAGTGGGGAATGGCCATTTCAGCTTCTCTCATGGAAGAAAACCCCAAGAACAAATTCAAGGAGAGAGAAATTCAACCTGAGTAGAGGGAAAGGGTTAAGGTGTGAATCAAAGAAATGGATTGTGAAGACATTTTATGAACAATATAAAGCCAGAAGACTATGGTACAGACTTCAATATTGTACCGAAATTTAGAGGGAAATAGGGGTTAGTTACAAGTGTAGACTAATTTTGGCACCTAAACAAGTGGGGAATGGCCATTTCAGTTTCTCTCATGGATGAAAATCCCAGGACAAAATTCAAGCTGAGAGAAACTAAATATGAGTGGAGGGAAGTGGTTGTGTGAATCTAAGAAATGGGTGATGATGAAGACATTTTACAACAAATATGGAGGAATGAGAATACTGATGATAGTTCTGATGAGTGGAGCATGGAGTACATGGCCTCCAGAGAAAAGCCTCAAAATGGTTTAGATTCCAATAAATGACAGAAGCCAAAACAGGGAAGTGACTTTTCAATTCAGATTCCAGAGCTAAAGGGGGGTAGAGAGAGAGATGGAGAGAGAGTCAGTGATGGGAAAAGGGTTGAAGTGGAGTTGTTAGAACTTGCAGTGTATACTGGCGGAAAGGTGAGAGCTGGGAAAGGAAGTTAGTTTGTGAGCTTGCAGTTCACTCACAGACCACATGCCAGAGAGAGAGAATGAGGAGCAAAAGGGCAATCCCAGTTGGAGGAATCAGAAGAGAACACCAACATACAAACAACATAGATGGCCATAATAGGCCTTATCCTACTGAGAGAACACGAGATTGCAACTAATAATATAGAATAATTATGAAGACGGACCCCTTGTCTCTCTCTCCCTACATTTATCAGCCAGTCAAAGTGACCCCCCAAAGAATAATAATTGTTAATGTCTTTGAAGTTTGAATGCACCCAACATATGTTGAATAAAAAAATGAGTGATGGGGAGAGGGGAGGGGGGGAAGGGGGTAAATGATAGTCACAAGGCTCATGAGAACTGCTCTAATATGAAAACCCCCCATGTGCAATCTGTAGCAAAGTATCTCTGTGTGCAGTGTACGTCACTGCACTGATTGTTTTTATGCATAAGCCTTTTCTAAACTTGGATATAAAGATTTTTAATTCCAATTAATCCATATTTTCCAAACATTGGAAAAGCTAAACAGAATGAAATTATTCATTCATAAAATCCCAGAATAGATTTTGAAACTATGCCCAAAATCATGGAATTCAAACTTGGTATTCTTTCCCCATTAAATTTTCTGCAAAATTGTTACATCATTTGTTTATTTTCAGATTCATGGTTCAAAACCCGAGTTTTTTTTTTAAAGCATTGCTCATTGAGTGCACGAATTTTTCATCACCGTAAAGTTTGAGGAGGATCAGATCTATACAATTATGTCCCGTTACGAAGAAAGATAAGATTGTCTCTATGACTCGAGCCCATGACAATCTCAAAATTGCAGTTGTAGTCAACAAATGTCTAAAAGCATTTCAAAATCCCGATGAATGGCCATATTTTCCTGTAAACGTTTTTGAATATATATTCACCCACTTTTCTTATACTTGGCTTGGTTCTTTGAACTTCTAAACAATGTTATGAACCAATTTTTACAGAGAATATTTGCAGCATCTTTGCCAATTTTTGGGAAAGAGCATAAAACTGAATAACTTAAAAGTTGGCTTACTAACATAATGTGCATGTCTCGATGGACTAAGATCCCCGCCAATATATTTTTTCTTCATTTCCATTTTAGGTGAAACATTTATTGTGAATTTAAGTGGGACCTAAATTATATAAGTAGATCCCCTCTTTCATTGATCGTGAATGATTTGTCAAGAATAAGAAAATTAAAAAGAAGAAGAAGAATTCGAGAAGATCCAGATCAATAGCAAAAGATTAAGATGGATAGCTGAGTTGGCAATTGACTGGCCTCAAGGAGATCTTAAGCGCCAGGCAATTGACTGGCCAACCATTCAGACCAAAACCTTAACCAGTCAAAATATATCAGCTGCTTCTAGATAACACATTTCAATTTCTAGGTTTTATAGTTGAAGTGAAGTAAAAGAAACCACATTATAGGATGGGTAATTTTTTATTCACCAAATTAACTGCAACCGTTGGATCAGTGATAGGACCTACTAATCCAACGACTATAAGTGATTTAGTACAAGTTTTAGTGCACATAATATTACTCTTAAAATATTTCAATAAAAAGAGACCAGTACTAGTACAAGTTATTCACATAAACATGGACCTTTGAACAAAGAAGTTTCTTTTCTGCAGTTTTAAATAAATACTTTTTTTTTGGTGCTGACCACCTAAGGAAGAATATAATATTTGTGTAGAAGAACAATCTGAGTCCTAACATATGAATCTATTACCAATATACCCTATTTATCAAAATTATTTATCAATCAATTATCGCTTTCAACTTATTTACCAAACTACCGCTGTTTTAAAAGCGGATTTGACAAATCCGACTTCATGGGAAAAGTGAATTTGGCAAATCCGACTTCATTTGGAAAGCGAATTTGACAAATTTTACTTCAATTGAAAAGCAGATTTAGTAAATCCGATTTTATAGGGAAAGCGAACATACCAAATCCGTCTTTATATGGAAAGCGGACATACCAAATCCGCTTTTATATGGAAAGTAGACTTACCAAGGTGCAAACCTTTATATGTATTATTGTGTTGATCGCCAAAAGAGTATTTGACTATTTATTGAATATGTTTGGTCTCTCTGATTCTATATTCTTTGTGAATAAATTACTCACCTTTATTATTCGTTAAAAATCCACTAATAGATTCTATTTAAATTTATTAGTTATAACATGTGCCTGAAGGTACGATAAAATATAAAATTCGAGCATCCAAAAAATCGATTTCACTATATTAAATTTTTTTAAAATATATTAATTACAAATTAATCAAATATTAAATAATTAAATATATGATAAAAATGAGTGATTTATTTTTTAGGGAGAAAATATATAAAGTCAAGAATTTCAGGTGGTATCCCAGTAAGAAAATTAAATAAAATACTAAAAGTTACTAGTTTTGACAAAAAACAGATTTGGTATGTCTGTTTTCTAAATGAAGTCAGATTTGATATGTTCACTTTCCCTATAAAGTCGAATTTGCCAAATTCGCTTTTAAAACAGCAGTAGTTTGGTAAATAAGTTAAAAACGGCAGAAATTGGTAAATCAGTTTGATAAATGAAGTAGATTGGTAATAGATTCCCTAACATATTGTATTTCGATCGCGCTATTTTCATTTCATGTCAATTATTAATCTATTTTAACTCGATTATTTTAATCAATTATGTTGAGTGGTCCAATATGATGAATGAATGTGGTATAATTTGATCGTCAAACATATATGATGAATGAGAAATCCAGAACTAGGAACTTATTCTATATTAACTCGACACACCATGAATAAACCACCATAAACTCGAAAACCCGATAAAGATGCTAATAAAATCAAATAAATAATTCTATTATAATTTATTCAATAGGAGATCAAGAAAATTGGAAAAAAAAAAAAAAGTTAAATATTTTACATACAATCCAAGTTAGACGGGTTTATATAAAAAGACATGACCCTTTACTATTAATAGAGATGCCTTTTCTTTGATACTGACCATCTGCCTAACAAAAGCGTAGTTACCTTCACTAAAACAACATTCTTGCAGAAGATTCTAACAAAATACAAAAATATTGTGTGGAAAAAAAGGTCTTTCAAAACATCGGTCTTAGTTATCAATCTCAATGATGGATCATAACTCATGTGTGGTTTGAAAAACTTCCTAGGATAATATGTTTTTTTTTTAATGGTTAAGGGTATTCAGGTCAACTTGTGCACGTCTCGATTAATCTCTTCTTTGGTCCGGTTACATACAGGTCATCCATATCAGGATTAGGGTATTTGTGAAAAAAAAATCTCTCATGGTCTGGTCCTGAAGAATTGCCAAAATTTGAACTCAAGACTTTCGGATTTATAACTCGTCTATATTATTACTTGAACTATTCTTTAATATTTAAGATAATATGTTATTGATCTACTTGTGCACATACAAATAAATAAATATGTATATTATTTGCTAAGTAGTCCCTACAATTATAAAAATGTGCGTCCTGGCCTTTTTTTTATTTTTTAATTTTTTGAAATGTATTCTCTAAACTCATTGCAATATATACTTGTAACGTCCTAACCCATCTACAACATATTATTCATCTTGGGTTAAATTAGTGTGATTTTTAACACATCTTAACAGTTAAGGTAATGAGATATCATCTAATACATTTTCTCTTTATTCTTCTTCATAGTAAATCACTTACAATCAATTCAAGTGGAATCTATCGTATATAAGTGAATCTCTCGCTCTGAAAATATAAAAAATATATATATTAGAAAGAATCTGGATTGTAGTGCGAATATACTAATTTTTTCTATTGATAGCTTAATCTCACCTCACCTCATAAATTAAATACAAATATTATTTTTGATTAGACGTTTGGTTGGTTGGTCTCTCGGTGTTTTTTTTTTTTTTCAACAATTGATAAAAAAAAAAAAAATTGTATAGGTTTTTATATTGAGTATGAAAGATAAATGAGAGGGGGCCAAGCAACCAAGGTTCAAAATTTTATTTTGGTGTGTTGTTTCGGTCACCTAGGAAACGGAAACGTTTTGACGTGTTTCGAAAACGTTTCGATCCATTTCGGAAACATAATGAAAAAAATAAAAAATTTAAGAATTATTTTTCTAAAACGTTGATTGAAATATATCAAAATATCTTAAAATAACTTAAAATATTTCGAAATAATTGTGTAAATATATTGAAATATTATAATAATCTCGAAACATTATGAAATATCTCGAAATATTAGAATTTCAATTCTATCACTGTTTCGTTTTGATCTCCTTGAAAACGGAAACGTTTCAGACGTTTCGATCGTTTCAAAACGATATTTTGATCTTTACAAGCAACAAAGAGACAAAACAA